TTTGGTGTTGGTCTTTTTTGTTGTTGTTGCCTTCTTTTTTGGGGGGAAAGGGGGAGCAGAGGGGATGTTTGTTTCTGTGTTTGCTTTTTTTTTTTTAATGAGAGTGTAACTTGCCAACCTAAACATGATGATAAGATAAAGCTGTGGCTGTGCTGTTTTGATTTTATAATGAATTAACAAGTGGGTAGTTTCACATGACTTGCCCTGTAAATAATGTGCCTCACCCTTCTTACAGTGATCCTGGAAGAAACTTGCTCTGTATATCTTCTTACCATCTTTCTAGTGGCTACTGTTGGCCTGTGGCTCCTGCTGCAAGGTTTAGGGGAGGAGCTGGGTAAGAGAGCACAGGTTGTCATCTGCTTGTATCCTAACCATCAGCAGACTCTGCTCTGTAAACAAAAAGACAGAGAGAAAGAGGAGAGAGGAGGAGAAAGGAAATGAGTTTGAGAAGAAATAGGGAGAGAAGCAGCGTATTCAGGAAGATGTCAGGTGGCATTGACTGACATTGCTAACCTTAAGAACTGAGAGGCATGAAATCCACTTTAACACATTTTTAAACTGTTGAACAGATACTTAAAGGAAGAAATGAAGTAAACAAAATTTTAGGAGGGAACTTTCACCTCTTATTTGATCTGTTGTTCTGGGTTAAAATTTCTGTGCATGCATGCACGTACATCTCGAGTGGAATTAGATTCTGTTTACCCTAACATGACTCCTGAAAATAAGTGATTTCTGTTTTAAATAGAACTATCTTTTCCTATGCTTTCATTTGACTCTTGGATTGAGTGCTCCAATGACCTGTTGTTTTTGTAAGGTTTTTTATAAGAAACCTGATTTCTTGCTAAGTTTCTTTAAAGAAACTGCTTTTTCTTTGTTCTCAGAGTTTGCATTTGTAGGGAGGGAAAAATGTCTTGGCAATCAGCTGATACAGCTGGGAAAAAAGTGTTTAAACTTTCAGGCAGAAAAATCTCCTTTATAGATATCTGGTCAGAAGATTTCTCAGTGTAACTTTCTAGATCTTATGTAGAAAATAAGTTTTCAAAATATAGAAGGAAGCTGTTATACTGGGTCACTGTCACTTGTCTAGTACAAGCTATTTACATAGAATTAATGTAATCAAATATCAAAATACTTAAGCAGTTTGTTACCTTACATCTGTAGTTTCAAGAAGTGCTAGTAGAAATAATACAGGGCTTTTAATAGGGATTTTTGATCTGCGTACTAAAAAAGAAAGCAAAAACTTAAAAGGTAGTCTTACAAACTATTCCATTACTGGCAGCTCAGTCCATAAATAAGCCAATTTTGGAATAAATCCAAAACAAGAGCATCAGGGGAAAGGTATTGTTGGATGGTGTAGTGAAATGGGATGGAGTTTTTCACCTTGGGAATTATTTGCTGAAAATAGCGGATGTCCTACCATTAAGCTAAAGCATAATAAGTTTAAACATCCTTCTACCTGCACATGGAAATACCTTATTTCAAGGTCTTGGGTCATTGAAATGTTTGTAGCAAGTTCTGGAAGAAGGACTTAAAAAAAACAAAAAAAAAAAGTCACATATTAATATCTTTTGCAAAGTAGTTGTTACCAGTCTGTTTGTAATGGTAATTTTAAGTGAAGTTTTCTGAGGCTTACTCTTAAGTAGTGGGAGAGAGATTCCCTAATTGCGAAAGGTGACAGTAAAGGGCAAACCAGACTGTGTGCAATTTTTACATGGTGGTTTTAAATAAAAAAAGGGAGGAGAAGACTGGGACATGTCAGCTAGGGTGGGACGGCAGGAGGAAGCAAAAATATGTGTGTCTATGTACTTATAAATATGTCCATTTAAAAAAAAACAACAACATACAAATAAATGAGCAGAGGAGCCAAACACTTATGATGGAAAAGGACAAAGCATGTGTGGAGAAGCAGTAAAGTGGAGTGAGCTGAAAGTAGGAGTTACGATTGATTGAGAAAAGTGTTTACCAAAAAGTTTGAGAGCAGATTTGATCTCTCTGAGAACTGTGGAAAATGCCAAGTCGATTCTTCACGTGTGATAGTCTTCTCCGCAGATAGCAGAGATTCTCACAGATGTTGTCATGTTGAGTGCTGCTGTGTCTGGTAGCTTACAGCTTCTCCACAGAAAAAGCCAAAATGTCGTAATGGATTACTGGTCGTGTTACCTCAGAGGATAAGTCAGGGAAAGAATGAGTGATGAAATCTATCTCTCTGCAACTTCCAAAGTTATCTTAGAAGATCCCAAGTAGCTTTTATCTAGTATTCTTCTATTACTTGTGCCCAGAATGCTTTACCTGAATTCAGTTGATTAAATTATGGTGCTTAATTGGCCTTGCAGCTCCCTGTTTGTGTTCTGGTTTGTGAAGAGCAGTGCTGAGTGTGATTTTTGTTGCTGCGTGTTTATTCTGCTTTTCCCACTGCTGCTGTAGAGAAGCACAAAGAGTGCAGGCTGAATTACCATTCTGAGTTGCTTCTGCTCAACTACATATTTAAAAGAGAATAAAAGTGCTGGTCACTTATCATGCTTTCGTGATTATAATGTGGAAAGCTGCATACCCTGTGAAGTTACCTCTAGTTTTTCAGGGTATTTCCGCCTTCATCTGTTATTCAAATCTATGTTCTCTTCTTTTTGATTTAGACATTTTCTTTGATCCAGGTGAAGTCTAAATTTGCCTTTTCCTGCATATCTCCTTAGGCTGAGGTCTTGGCCCTGTAGAGGTCAGTTGAGGATATTAAGAGTATTCTAATGGAACCAGGATTCTACTTCTGGTACCCTTGGTTATGTCCTCATTTTCTCACTTTCTCCACTAACAAAACTATTGTCTAATCCTGGCCCTCTTGCAGCATGATACCTCTTAGCTTCTTTTGAAGTGAAATCATCCCCTTAAAATGGCTCAGAATAGCTCTGCTAGAACCATCTCTGTCATGTCACAGTCTGTTCCTTTAATGTCCTCCTTTGGAGCTTTCTCTGTCCATGGGTCAGATAGACACATGCATTGACTTTGTCTTCAGCACTTTTTTTAGCTTAGTACTGCTGTGGCTGTTTGTTCCAGCTTTGTTTCTGCTTCTTTTTCCACCAACAGTGCCAACTTCAGCGTTCTGCTTATGAACTTTTCTCACATGCTTTCCCCAAATCTGCTCTCTGCACATAAGGAAAAGCTGACAACCTGTGAAATCGCTGTCTGAACATTCCAGCTCTTTTTTTAGATCTCACCTTTGCTATAATGCCTACAGAAAATCACCATCTGTTAAGTAGGTAGCAAGAGGTAATTGTGGCAGGTAGCTGCAGATGGCATACAAATCTCATTCAAACTACATTTGTTATCCCAACTTTTATTTCCTTGCCAATACACCAACCTCTTGGTCCTCTTATTGGACATCAGAGCCTTGTCTGGTTGATTTTGTATTTTTTTTTCCTGTCTGGAGTGGTTTGTGACAATAGATGCTTTGTCTTCAACATGAATTTCACCAAACCTGCACGTTGTAAGGAGCCTGCCTGTTCACTAATTCCCACAAAATAGAGAAGTGGGAAATTTAGTTGTAAACAAGTATCTACTGTTGCTAATAAGATGAAAGAAAGGTAACTTTTTTGTAGGTGAGCTGCCTTGCCTTTGATTTACCTGCAGGTTTTTTCTTTGCAGTTTGTCTTGGTGAACTTGTAAAACAGTAATCTACTCTCCATCATACAAATGCCATATTTCAAAAGCTCCATTATCATAGAATCGTTTGGGTTGGAAGGGATCTTTAAAGGTCATCTAATCCAATCCCCCTGCAATGAGCAGAGGCATCTTCAACTAGGTCAGGTTGTTCAGAGCCCCATCCTGCCTGACTTTGAATGTTTCCAGCGATGGGACATCCATCACCTCTCTGGACAACGTGTTCCAGTGCTTCTCCACCCTCATCATAAAAATGATTACCTTGTATCTAGTCTTAATCTACCCTTTTTTAGTTTAAAACCATCACCCCTTGTCCTATCACAACAGATTGTGTTAAAAGGTCTGTCCCCATCTTTCTTCTAAGCCCCATTCAGTTACTGGAAGGCTGCAATCAAGTCTCCCCAGAGCCTTTGCTTCTTCAGGCTGAGCTACCCCAGCTCTCTCAGTCTTTTCCCCATAGAAGAGGTGCTCCAGCCCTCTGACCATCTTGGTGGCCCTCCTCTACACCTGCTCCAGCATGTCTAGGTCTTGTACTGGGAACCCCAGAGCTGAATGCAGTACTCCAAGTGGGGTCTCACCAGAGTGGAGTAGAGGGGCAGAATGATCTCCCTTGACCTGCTGGCTGTGCTGCTTTTGATGCAGCCCAGGCCATGGTTGGCTTTCTGGGCTGCAGTCACACATTGCCAGCTCATGTCCAGCCTCTCATCTACCACCAACCCCAAGTTCTTCTCAGCAGGGCTGCTCTAGAGTTGCTCATCCCCCAGCCTGTATTGATACTGGGATTGCCCTGACCCAGGTGCAGCACCTTGCACTTGGCCTTGCTAAATCTCATGAGATTCCCATGGGCACACTTCTTGAGTTTATCCATGTCCCTCTGGATGGCATCTTGTCCTTCAGGTGTGTCAACCACACCACTCAGCTTGGTGTTACTGGCAGACTTGCTGAGGGTGCACTTTGATTTCACTGTCTATGCCATTGATGCAGATATTAAACAGTACTGGTCCCAGTATGAAACCCTGAGGGACACTATGGGGAGCTGGTGTTTAGTATGTTTCTGAGAGTACCATGATGTTTTATATTGAAATTTTGGAAGGTTCTGAATGAAAAATGCTGTTGGAGTAAAAATTTGAACATGTTTATCTGCTGTGTTCTTGGTCTGAATTTCATACTTAAGAAGTGTGCTATGCTAGATTATGTTTCAATGTTATTTCTGGATTATGTTAGTTTTCACTTTTTGCTAGTAACCTTCAAATAGTCTCACTTAAAAGATTTCTTAAAAAATAAATAATTGTGAACATGGAACATTGCTGGAAAGTTTGAATCATTAGCTCAATTTACTGTTTTTGCAGGACTTCAAGAATATGTTGAGGCTGTCTCATTTCAGTATTTTATCAAAACACGATCTTTGATTAGTGTTGAAGAGATTAACAAACAACTCATATTTACAGCAGAAGACAGAGAAGAAACAACAAACATGGTAAAAGTTTTTCTTTTCTCCAGTGACAAACATCTTTCTGGGATGGAAATGCAATGAGAAGGCTTAGTCACATTTTTGGCATCTGATTAAATAAGGCCAGTGAGTGGAATGGGATTAGATATACGTGTGGGCTTTGACTCACTTGTTCAAAACATGCTTTTTATTCTGACAAGTAGTAAACTAAATCTGTGGGATACAAGTTTACAAATTTCACATCCTTTTTATTCAGAGCAAACTGAACTCCTTCTGGTAGGGAAAAAGATCCAGGACAGTGAAATACTAGCAAACAAGTGTAGAGGAGGGATTTGTAATGCTGGGGACTGCCTGTAAGGCCTGGTGGTGTGTAGTGATGTTGCAGAAATTCAGGAAGACAAATGAATCCAAGGCAGGATGAACTCCATGAATGAAATCTTACTGCTGGTACTGAACTAGTCACAGGAGCCACTATATTCAGCTTCTGTTAAAATGCACTGCATGTGCCTTGGCTTGGTCATTTGTAATTTTCATGGAGTCGATTCCCCTCAGAGGACAGGCTGGTGTCCCTTCATACCTCAGCCCTAATACCATATCTGCTGTTTTCTTGACTTGCCTGTACTATAAGGCATAGGGACAAACTGCTGTCACTGACCACAGTAAACTGGGTGCAGTTTGATTGTTGGTAGGGAGCAACTGGTGGTCTGGTAGTAACCTGCAGAAGTGCACGTGCTGCTGAGGTGCAATGTACAGTAATGCACAGCACTGTTGCTTTAGATGAGTTCCTGAGTCTGCTTCTGTTGAAGAGATTCTGCTGTAAAGCACTTCTTACTCTGTCTTTATTCCCTTGGTAAAATATTTACAAGTAAGCTAGATTTTTAGTTTAGATTAATTTGTTTTTACCACAGGTAAGCTGAGTGTGGTACACTTCAACAAACTGTGAAGTTGTTAACCCCATCATCCACATCTCTGACCAGATTTGTGAATTTGGGTAAATAGCATATTATGGGAACAAGGGAACACAGAGAAACCTTCATTGTCTCCCACATTACCAGTATTTTGACAACAAAAAGTATTGGAAGCTTGGCTGTAGGAGCAAACTTGTTACTTTTTGATGAGTTTTCTTCATGAAGTTTTTTTTTTTAAGCTATTTTAATGAGTTCAGTTGCTATAAAACAGATCTGAGACACCTGTCAGTTTCTTGTAGAAAATATACTTTGAAATTCAAGCTACTATTACAAAATTATATGATTTGCTTTCATAATGCAGATTCTTTTGGATTGCTTTGGTAGCTTTGGACAGACCATTTAGGAAAAAATCTATCAAGCTGAGATCTGTGAGGTGAAAAAAAGTAACAAATGACTGCAAATAAATGTTGATAAAAAGATGTGATAATTCTGTTTGCAAACAGAGATGGTATGTGTATCATGCTTGCTAGAATGGAAATCACAACTCAAGCAGAAACTGATGCTTTTCTTACCCTTTGGTATGCTGGAAGGAGATTAGTATTTCTGAAACCAGACTGTGTGGAACTGCCATTAATTTTAAGTGCAATTTAATTTTCAAGAACGTTTTTAATTTCCAGTTCTGTTAGATAAGTTAGGATATATTTGAACTGTTAGAGAGTGCTTTTTCGTAGTTCTCTGTACTGGATTCTCTTCTGTTCTGTCCCCAGACATCCAATTCCCATGATAAGCAACCACATACTTGGAGCCTGAAGGTAACACCTGTAGATTACCTGCTGGGAGTGGCTGATCTAACTGGAGAGCTGATGAGGCTCTGCATCAGCAGCGTTGGAAATGGTGACATAGACACACCTTTTGAACTGAGCCAGTTCTTGCGTCAGATTTATGATGGGTTTACTTTCATTGGCAACACTGGACCTTATGAAGTATCTAAGAAGCTGTATACTTTGAAACAGAGTCTGGCAAAAGTGGAAAATGCCTGCTACACATTAAAAGTCCGGGGATCTGAAATCCCAAAGCACATGCTGGCTGATGTGTTCTCCACCAAAACAGAATTGATTGACCAAGAGGAAGGTCTTCCTTAAAATAAGGAGGCAGTTGCAACTCAGAAGGGAAGAGGACTTAGAGAAAGCTTTTTAGTTAGGTTGTATGGGGTTTTGACCCTTCTCAAAGTTTTTTAGATAGAGTCATTTTTAGTTTTATCAATGAGAAGACTGCTGTGGTAATTTGTAACCAAAAATACTTTTTATGATGTGCAAAAGAACAAATATTTGACTTTGGCCTCTTGTTATGGAATTTTCTGTATTGCTCCCTTGTATCTTCTTCCAGAATGACCAAAATTTCCACTTCACTCTACTCCAGTCACTATCAGTTGTGTGAGTCACCTCAAACTGTTGTGGTTGTTGGTACCAGTTTTCAGTGAGCACAGCAGTGGAAAAAAATGGTTAGGTGCTCTTGTTTAGCATTATCCCTAGACTTCTGCTGACCCATTTTCTACGCATTTGGGTTCTATCCTCATGTCATACCTACAGCAATTCACCTGTGTGTAAGTTCATCCCTTGACCTGAAACTGAGGTGGTTTCAACAGTGCCATGTAACTTCAGTGTTCTCTGATTATTGCTTTAAAGTATGAAACTGAAGCTAAGTCAATTTTTTGCCAATTGATAATGAAGCTAATTGCACCAGGTAAATACTACTGAGCACCCGTTACTTTGGGGCTCTCGTGACACTGAGCTCTGTTCAGGTTAACACTGGCACTTCACAGATTTGACATGAGCTAGAAAAGGCACAAAAAAACATTTGTGGAATGGATTTGTTTACATTTCTTGTAATACAGTTTAATGCAGAATCTGACACATTTCTGTTTGTAGACAAAAGAAGTTGTCATATAAAGTACATAATTTAGTGTTAGGACAAGCAGTTTTTGACCTGAAGAAATGTGGTGCAGTGTTGGAAATCTGTTCTCCGTTGTTTGTGCTGCCCTGAGGTTCTCCAGTGGGATTGAACTGGTATAAGTGAAAAAGGGCTGACCAAACTTTAAATATATGTTAGCAGGAACTATATCATGTGCCTGTTCCTATGGAAAGGAAATTGCAAACAGAAGTAAGGCAGACATTCTGGCTTCCACATTTATCTTTGAGGTGGGTATGTCAGTGTTGGCAAAAAATCAGGGCTTTCTGCCGGTGTCTGAAGTTATGAAAGTCTGATAATGTACATTATGCTAAAGGAAAACAGATAAAACAACATGATCTTTAGACTCCAGGAAATAGGCCTCCCAACTGCAATTGAAAATACTGCATGTTTTTTATTTCCACTTCCATATGCTGTGATACTGCCAATATTTTTCCCATGAGCATGTCCTGAGTAGCTGGAATCATCTGATATATGGATGGGAATGGGTAAATACATTTCTGTCACATTTTTCCATTGTTTCCACAAAAGCAGTATGTGATGGGTTGACCCAAGGAGTGGCTTTTTTCCCTATTGTTTAATACTATTTTTTACAATAAATTCTGAAAAGTACTCACTGCCTTCATGTTGGTCCTTTCGCCTGTTCGTCCCAGTGGTAAACTATGGTGTGAGTTTCCCACTGTGCAGGACTTGACTTGGAAGTTTCATTCCATTCCTATATTAATACTTCAGTGGGCACTTTCTAATCCTGAATCTCTTTTCCCTTTCACCCTTAACTTTATTCTGTGAAGTCTAAAAACTAGTTAGGATAGAAACTTTATGTGATCCTTTTGAATTAAAGGAATGCAAAGGGTTCAGATGACAAAAAAAGTATATTGCTGGAACAAGTCTGCACCACTACCCACCTTTTTACATTTCTCCTTGTTTTTTTCTCTGCTCTTTCTTTTTTTTCCCCTGATGGCAGAAGGGGAAGAAAAGAGAAGGATACTTGCTAATAAGGAATAGCTTTGGTGTTCAAACCCACCCCGAGATGTATGTACCTACTACTTCAGTTGGTGCAGCTAAGAGTATAGTTCTGTGTCTTTTGGCACAGCTAACTTTACTGCAGGTAGTTGTTTGTGGAGTGTAAGTGTGTAAAGCAAAAGCAGATATTATTAGAGGTACTGTGTGATATTAAACAGAGGTCTGTTTCTTGTCTGTCCCAGCAGCTATCAGGTGGAATTAAAAAATGTTCATGGCAGTTTGAAAAGGGATGAGATGAATTCCAGGACATGGCAGTGCTTGGCGAAGTGACATTCTGCCTCTAGCCCTGGAAGGAGCACGCAGCAGCCACCACTGTAGTCAAACAGCTCCTGCTTTTGCACAGACATTAATTATTTGAAAACTACAGATATCTGAAAAGAGCACTTGTTTTTTCCTAGCAATCTTTAGTAGTAGGTGCTCTTTCAAAAAATACATACTGATTCTAGTGATTTTGAGATTTAAATTTTCTCTAAGGCAAGAGAAATCTTTGTCAGACCAGCCGTGATTTCAGGCTGCCTGCCCGTAGTCCAGAGCTGTGAGTAATTTCTAATAGGGAGCAAAGTGTATGTGTGGTGTATTAGAACACCGGCACAGATGGGAAGTAGCTAATGGCCTGCAAACCTCCTGCTCAAGGAAATATTTTCCCCAAAAAAACAATTGCACTGTAGCTATTCGAAAAGTGACAGACATTTATCAGCAAAACAAGCTGCTAAACAAGCAATGGCAATTTTCCCATTTCTTATCCCATTACTCTGTGGAGCTATTGATACGCTTGGTCTGCAGCCAGAACAGGACTACGTCATAGCAGATGTTTCACGAGGGCAGCTCTGCGTGCTAAAAATCATCTGCCTTTCTAGAATCTCCTGTCTCAGAAATGATTTTTCTTTACAGGTTCACTTTTTTTTTTCCCCGACCATTAGTGTGAAGTAAGAAAATAAACCCACTCGCATTTAGCTTTCCAGAACTGCCAGAGAAGTTATGCAAGAGAAACTTCCTGTTGACAAGACATGTATGTCTGTCTACTTAAAATCCTGCTTACTTGAATTTTCAGTAAGTTCATCGAAAATCTAAATAAATAAATAAATAGAAAGGACCTTTTTACAGTATTTAACGTATTATGTGCCTTATGGAATCCAGACCAGATTCTGGCACTGCTCTGAAAGAGCTTGCAGTTTAAGAGTAAGCAAAAGGGTAGCCAAGACAAACAAAAGGAAGATGGTAGAAAGGGGAGGAGATCAAGTGACAGGATTTTTAGCAGAAGACGGTGTATGGTAGTAGGTTGGTTTCCCACTTCCCATTTTGGAAAAGAAACTCGTCAAAACTTCAGAAAGTCAGAAGTGTGACAGTAAAGGGTTAGTTGAGAAGGGCAAAGGCGGTGGAGAGGCAAAATGGAAGGAAGTGAGGTAGAGACAAAGAGGGGAAGAGTGGCAAGGAGTGGGACAGCATGGAGGAAGAGCAGGCTGAGCCTCAGGACAGCGGGTACACATGTGAGTAGGGTGGGACAGGGGAGGACGTGGGACAGGAAGACAGCCCTGCAAGAAGCTGGAAACAACACTTCGAAACCAGGTGACTCAGCTAGAAAAGAGACTTGGAGTTGACTGTAGGAACTGAATTTAAAATTGCCACAAAGTTCCCAAAGCCTTGATCTAGCCTTGGGCCAGAAATAAGAAGAACTTGATTTCCTGAGCAGCTGAAAACCTGCAGGTCCTGGACTGCAGGGTTTGCAGGCTTCCAGCCATGCTGTCAAAAATCAAGCTCTCAGTTCCCATACCACCCAAATTCCCATCCACATTCCCTTCACTCCCATATTGGTAGCCACAAACCCTGATGTGTGAACTACCATCATCTGCAGCTGTTAGAGACATGGTTAGATACAGTTTTTAACATAAAGGAATGCTTACGGTGACCACAGTTTTCCCTTTGTGTGCTGTTTATGTGTCCATTTCGCTGTCAGTGCTGCTTCAACCTTATCCTTTCTTAGGCTGTGCTGTTCTTTTGAGCCATTGCCCATGTCCATCCCATAGTTCAGTCCTTGCCATGTTTAGCTGGAATCCTGGGGTAAAATGTTTCCACGCAGGAAGAGGAATCGGTTGGTTTCTTAGGTAGGTTTGTCTATTTGCCCCTCCAAATTTGGACACAGTGCTCTGGCTCTGAGGGGAGAGGTCTGGTGTTCCTGCATTCGGATAAGGCCTGGTGCATATGTCCCACGGCAGCCATGGTACCATGTGTCAGGACGGGTGGGTGGGCAGATCTCACGTTGCTTTTGCAGGTGAGCAAACCTTAGTTATTCTGAGGTTTGCAATCATCATGAGCCAAGGAAAATTACCTACAAACATGAAAGAAGTTTCTTCTCCAGTTCTGAGGAAGGTTGTCTTTGAGCAGTATGATTTCCTACCAACTCTACCTCTTTTTACCTCACCCATCATCCCTTTGAAAGGCCTTTTTGCAAAATGTAGCAGAAGAAACTTGCTGGTGACTTCTTCTGGAGCCAGGCAGTGCCTTCCTGAACACTGGCCAAAAGTGATGTGATGGCTCCTTTCTCAGCTCCTCCCACAGGCCGGGCAGGCTGGCTCTGGTCTCCCTCTGGCCACCCGGGGGGGCTGAACTCTGAGCCTCCACTATTGGATTCTGCAGACCAGTGACATGTGGGTTCATCCTCTTTCCTCCCCCCACCAAAGTGGTGTTGTTTTCATGTCGTGCAGATGTTCATTCCTTCCAAAGAAAGGCGCTGTTGTGTGTGTTCTGCTCCTCCACTGCCACAACAGGTCAGATGACTTCTTGAACCCATCATAAATTGTTTCTTGGCTACTGGTGCAGTGCAAGTTTTGGGGGACATCTGGTTTTGAGCACTTGTCCCACAGCTCTGAGCTTTCCGGCGGGCTTACAAGTTCCTTTTAATCCAAAAGGGTCTTACTAGTCCATTTAATTCTTCCTCAAGGTTCCCTCCTTGGATGGCCTTAGCAAGAGAAGCTGAAAAAAGTGATCTGGAAATAGCCCAGTTTTTTGTTAAAATGAGCTTTGTCATGCTTGGGGATAGGAACCAGAAGGGCAAAGGATATGCTTGAATAGTCACTTCTGGGAATTTGGATGCCACAGGAACACTGTTAAGTGCCAGAAGTCTTGTTTTAGGAGGAATAGGGGTTGTATCTCTCCTTGCAGCAAGGGCTGTTGGTAGATATGTTTTGCACCTAGAGGGAAAGGTGCCAAGCAGCAGATGCCAGAGCTGTGAGGGAAGATGAGTATGACAGAGCTATGTCAGGCTGTACAGCAACTCAGCCAGGAACCTGGAATTAGATGTGGCTCTTTAACCTCCAGCCCAGCTCCCACCACTGTGAGCCTGCTCTGCTCCCCAGAGTCAGCCAAGGCCAGAAGCTGCACTGCCCAAGTATCGAGGTCACTCTCACGTGCGCATCTGTGACCTGCTGCATGTGTGCATTTGTGCGTGCTCAGAGATCAGGGAATGGTGCTGGAAACACTGATGCAGAACGTCGTGCTGGCCTTCATAAAGTCCCAATGCCTGATATTTTGTATTTATTAATTATTTTATCTATATTTTATATATCTTTGCTGGCAGCGC